TTTCGAAGAAGCACTCATGGCGGCGGTGCAGTCATTCTTCGCAAACCAGACGTAAAATTGCTCAGGAAATTCTTCTTGCTTGCTAGTACTCAGTACTCATGGAAGTACTCAGGTGCAGCAGCAGTGCAGCAGAATTGCTCCCCATGCCAGCAAAGACGTTTCCATGCTACGGACTGTGTAAATTGAAAGGATAATTGAACGCAAAAGCAAGCATGTCGTGGCTGGTGAAAAGGAATGAAACTATGGCGTCGTGCCATAGTATTCAAAACTTGCAACCTTTATATTATAGCAGTCTGCTCAGTTGGCTGATCTTTGCCTACGCCGACAGAGCGGCGACTGCCCTCACAGCTTTCACCGGTACAGAGACGCGTTTTTGGCATGCTGCAGTGCCGCGTCGTGTGCATTTGCACAATGCTGTGCCATGGCGCATGCCAGGAAAGTCAAAGCTCTCAAACTGGCTTGCTTGCATTTGTTCAATCAAAAACCTGTCACTCTTGCAGATTCATTTGGCACAGCCGCGACACGCGGTACAGACATCAAAGCATTGGCACAGCATAAAGCGGCACAGCAGCGTGCGCAAAACCCGAAAGCATGGACGTAGTATTCCCCAAGCGCAGAAAGCCATGCGTGCGCTACGGCGGAACTGCACGCGTAGAAGCTTGGAGAGCAGCACAGCGCCCGAAGATTTGGAACGGGCGCACACACCAAGGACAGCCTGGCGCGAAAGCATTCCGTACAGCTGCACTCGCGCCACAGGCGGCACGGTAGCGTGCGCGCGAAAGAATTTGGCACAGCTTGCACGGCAAGGGCGGCACAGCAGTGCGTGAACGTTTTAGCGCAGCTGCGTGCACGCCAGGGCGGCACAGCGGCGTGCTTGCGCGACAGCTGCGCGCACGACCGGTCGTGGGTTGAAAGCATTCGGCACAGCTGCATGCACGCCCAGCCGGCGCAGCAGCGTGCACGAAAGCATTCGGCACAGCTGCATGCACGCTAAGGGCGGCACAGCAGCGTGCGCGAAGTGCACGAAAGCATTTGGCACAGCTGCATGCACGCCAAGGGCGGCACAGCAGCACGACCGGTCGCGTGTTGAAAGCATTCGGCACAGCTGCATGCACGCCAAGGCGGCGCCGCAGCGTGCACGAAAGCATTCGGCACAGCTGCATCACGCCACGCGCTGCTGCGAAAGCATTCGGCACAGCTGCATGCACGCCAAGGGCGGCACAGCAGCGTGCGCGAAAGCACAGCTGCATACTTACAGACCTAGACTCAGACACACAGACAAAGAGACAGACAACGCGCTCTAGCGCACGGACACAAGGAGCACTCTGGAGTCTTGCACCAACGAAGACGCTCCAGTTTGCTTGTGATATCATGGGAAGACGTTCCCATGACGTACCTGCGAAGGTTTTCAATCTGAGTGAGCACCACATTTGAAGCCTGTACTAAGGTGAGTGACTGTCGAATTCTAAGGTACCATAGGGATACACACTGGTTGGTGGCAAAAGCCGTTGGACCAATTGGAATAAGAGCCATTTCTCCGTGTGTGTCCAGCTGGATTATAGGGCCAAGTGGCAGAAAACTGCCATTAGGAAACATAATAGCATTTCGGAGGAAAAACCTCGGCATTAGCTACCAAAACAAAGGAGTGCCTGCTGCTTAAGGCCTCCGTTGGAGCAGGGCCTAGGAGGGATCACACCCCCAAACTCCGATTCAGAACCCTCAATAAGGCCTTCAGGTCTGCGAGCCTGTGTGTGTGGGTGTGGGGGCGGGGGGGGGTCCGTTTTGTTGCGGGATAGCAGTTTGGACGTACTGAGCATCGCCTTTGAACCGCACGCAACATGCACGCACCGAGTTTTTTTACGCCACTGCAAGTGCACGGCTCCAGCATCGACGCTAGTCGCTGTCCGACGGCGAAGCCGGGCTCTCCGCTTTCTTGGCGGCCCTGGCCTGGCGGGCGCCAACGACCGGAAACAAAAGCTCAGCGACAGCCCAAAGAAGAATACCAAGTCCCAGACGGCACGCGAAAACAGGCAGCGACATGCCCCACAAACGGGGTCGCCCTTCTGCAAAGGCACCCCGCGCCTGAGGCACAGGAAAGCAACAGAGAGCGAACGGAGGATTGCGGAGGCCTCTTGGTCTTGCCCAGAAGGCCTGACCAGGTGCCAGACTGTCTTGCACAAGCGAATATGCTGGAAGCGAGCCTGCTGCCCGGATGAGGTGGGCATCCCGGAGGTTGCAAACGTCCTTCTTCTTGGTGCACTTCTTCACGCTGCAAACCTACAAACCAAGTTGACGAAAAAGATGTCGGAAAAGCCTCGGCTCTGCGGCCTTGTTCTCGCAGGCGTCAGCCTTGAACAACGGACCTGACGCAAGAGTCATGGCAAGAAGCAAGGGTCCAGCAACACAGTCAAAGCACGGAGGAGTTTCTGCAACTCCAGACGGTTCGCCAGCGTCATCGCCTGCACAAGACGAAAAGATGACTAGTAACCGCTGGCACCGTCGTAGGCCTGAACGCCGAGGTGAACATCTGCAGGTGTCAGCTTCGCGAAGATGCGTTGCAGGGCCTCAGGAGTAGGCCTCACGGGGCGACGGAAGAACAGATTAACAATCGCACGTACAGAACAAGCGTCGCACATGGCCAGCAGCAAGGGAGGGGCAAGGGTCGTCGCTGTGAGTCTTAGAGCAAAGAAGCTGCCGGTGGACCCTCACGACACTCCAAACCACGTACCAAGTTTTGCGTACTGCTGCGTGGTGGTTCTGCCTGGTGACGCGAGGCCGCATTGGGTTTCGCGTTCCTACGGAAAGAGCATACCTAGCAGCCGAACCGCAGCAACAACAAAACCACGACGTGCCTCG